TGAGAAAATTGGCTGAGCCAGGCAGGTGATTGGATTGAGCAATCAAGCCAGTCAACAGCCCCAAGGTTATGACAAATATACTCCATTAATCTTAAAAAAAACCTCATAAAAATGTAAAAAATGTTAAAACTCTCAGTTGCTTTATATCGAGAATAAAAGTAAATTTCTTTAGATTGGCCTTTGACTGTGCTAGCTGAATATCATTTGCTACGTTTTCAGTCTGTTTTAGTTCAGTTCAGTTTAGTGCAGCACATATAGATAGAACTCGAAGAAAAGCATGTTTCTTTTGAGAGGTGGGGGGGGGTGTTCAGACACTTTGCCCTTATATAACATTCCAGGCACATCCCCATTTTTGTCAAACAATAATGTCAATGCACACTTTTAATTACAATAGGATATTTTTTTTGTTCTTAACACTTTTGGATTTACCCTTAACCTCCTTTCTTTAATTCCCTCCTCAAAAAAGGGCCCTTTAGAGTCGGTAGTCATGGATTTTCCACATCACATTCATCAGGCAGCACTGACTAAATTTTATTATAGAAATGCTGAGTGGCTCATCCCTGTCTCACTGAGTAAATTATGCCATGCCGGACAATTGATATCCATATGACAGTTTTTCTTCAGCCATGGGAACCAGTGAAAACTAGTGAGGCTCAGACTCCTGACCAAGAGGCTCAGGGTGTTAAACTCTTTCAAACTCAAGTCACTGAGGGCCGACATCCTGCAGCTATTTGATATGTCCCTTTGATATGTTCAGCAAACCTCAATCAAGTATTTTGTGGTCACCATGTGCTTAAATGTGGCCAAAGATAAGTAGCTACTACATGGGAATGAGTTAGTGTTTCCTGTGCACATTATGTCTCTTTTTCTCCCCATGTCAGGTTCAGCGATCGATATCTTTTCATTTACTAAGACAGTGAAAAAACATACTTTTTTCTGCCGCCTTCACAATTATACACTATGTTATCCTTTAGCCTAATGTATTTATGCATGTGCCTTTTTACAGCCAAACGGTGAAAAGTTTGATGCAAAATGAAATTAACAGTAGGTTGCAGAGAGTCTTGAGAGGAAACAGTTTTATGATTAGATTTCCTGTAGACTGATATTAGTATTATCTTGTTCTGCCTTTTGCCTTCTTCTCATTACTTTATCTGCTTCTCCCCTTCCAAACAGACTGCCCTAAAGGTCCGGACATTTTGGTGGTGCTCCTGTCTGTGGCAGGAGCCATCTTATTCCTCGGCCTTGCCGCTCTGCTGATCTGGAAGCTGCTGGTTACCATCCATGACAGGCGGGAGTTTGCCAAATTCGAGGAAGAGCGTGCTCGGGCCAAGTGGGACACGGTGGGTAAACAACGGGGGGAGGTTTAACATGCAGAAAAGCAGCTTTGATTGATTGGCGATTGTTGTATCAGGGCTCAATTAGTGATACCTGGGGAAATATATTTTTCAAATGTGTGCCTGTCTATGTCTTTGCTGACTCAAACATAGAAAAGGCCACACACAGCCTTCTGCCTGTTTTGTGAGGGTCCCTTTTTTATTATTTAGTGCCATGCTGTTACTCCCAGCAGAACAAAAAGCAGCAAAAGGAAGGGCTGGGTTTACATCAGGCAATGCTAATCAGGTACTGGTAATTGGCCTCTTTGTGGTCTCACAAAACTCCCAAGCTTTAATTTTCAGGGAATCACAGAATAAAGAAAGGGTAAACAAAAAAAATTTAGCTTTTTATTTTTGATAAATATTTCAACTTTTTTAAGTTCTCTAAAATTCACATTATTGTTTCTTATCTTGATTGATTTTCAGGGGCACAATCCTCTTTACAAAGGAGCGACATCTACATTCACCAACATCACGTACAGAGGAAAAGACTGATGCTACTGAAAGAATAAAAAAGAGATGTAGAGCATGAAATACTGGACTGATAAGATCCTTTGGGAGAGTGCGGCGAGTCTTGTGCAGCCTTCTACTGTCATTTAATAATAATGTGTGTAAATATGTAGAAATTATTCTGAGGAAGAATTTTCTAAGTATTAATTTCCTTCACAATGATGAAAAATAGTTAATGCTTTTATGATTTACAGAGGTTAATTTTCTGCTCAGGCATAAATAAAGATTTGTGGTCTCCTCATATATATTGTACAGTATGTCTTGGCAATATATGCTTCTATCTCTGATACTCTTTGAAAAGCAAATATTGGTTTGTAGATTATTTTTATTTTCATGTTCAACAAAAAAGGAATCCAATAAAAAAGCAAGACTTAGACAACCGCGGTGGCAGCTGAACAATGATGTAGAGTGATATTGTTTCTCTAAAAAAAAAAAAACAAAGTCAAGAGCATAGCACAATGGCAACCCAAGAAGAAAGTAAAGATTTCAACGCCTCCAGCTTGAATGTGAGAACATAAGATTTATGCTTTGATTGTTCTTGTTAGGAGGATAAATTCAGATGTAATGCCTGAGAGCAGTAGCTTGGAGACAGATTACCGCCCCACCCAAGGATTAAAAAAAGGAACTATAATACTTACTTTAAAACAAGATGGTTTAGTTTTATGTGGTATCCAAAACATGATCATTTGTTTTTCTTAGCTTAAAAGTATTCTCAGATACTCAAATAATGAGATAATTACCTCTTCAGTTTTCAGCTCCTTTCACAATTAGCAGTTTTAGAGCCCCTTCCCTTTTAAGCCAGTAAGCTTTTTCTGTCCACCTCACCCAACCTCAAAGCTTTCACTCTCAATATCTTTAAAAATGGTTACAAACAGATGCCTAATGTTACAACCATAGACCCAGAAGCTAAAGAAGTAGACACTTCTGCTGAGCCAGCAAGGATGTAGCAACTGGTTTCTGGATGATAAGTAAGTTGCCTATTTTTACAGAGCTACCTTGAAAGTCAGGCTTCTGGAGTGTTATCTATTGGTTTGTGTAAGATACTTCCAGGAGGACACCAATTGCGTTAGCACTCCTTCGAGAATTTTAATGAAGAAATCAGAAAAGTGCTGATCATCACCTGTAAATTATTAGATTGCATATAATACTTATAAATGTGTTAGATTTTGTTTGTTATAGTTTTATCCCCCTGGGGCTACTGTGAGGTTCAGTGATGGCCGATAATGACGTCATTTTTGGGAAATTTGACTTTTAAAATAGCCACTGCTTTTTAGAAGCAGTTGCAGTAGAGATCCAAATGTATGTATGAAAATTTTTTGCATAATAGGTCTCCTTTAAGAGCACTATGTGGTGAGAAAACTCTGCCTGTTATTTTGCTTTTTAAATATTTGAATTCTTGCCATAATAAGATCATTTTTGCTTCATTTCTTACCAGCATTGTTATTTTGATGTGCTCAGGCTTGTATAAGGGCAACTTTCACAGCAATGTAACTCCAATAAAACTACTTCACATAAGTTATATAGGAGTGTCATGCTGTGTTTGGCAAAAACATTAAAGCTGTAAATGGAAACAGATGGACATTTCACTTTTAACACTTTAAACATATATTTTTTTACTTGTAAGAAGCTGAATTCTGCTACAGTATTGAAACATCATCTAAGGAGACTGTCTGACCTACCATGTTTTCAGATTACAAGCTATCCTCCATAAACAGCAGAGCCTTTTCTTCAACTTCCTATAATGTGTAAATCCCTTTTATTGTCCTTCAATGGGGAAGGTAATTCTCTGTATTTTGACCCATCCCTTTGGAGAGCAGTGGGCTGCCATTGTGTGGTGCCCGGGGAGCAGTGTGGGGATAAGGGTTTTGCTCAGGAACCCAGAGTGGAGGCTGTGGGAATCTAACCTTCTCAGAGCACAAGCGTACTGCTCTAACCCACTAGGCTAACTAGGAAATGTGTTACTCAATATCTTTGAAAATAAGATTATTTTTATATAGCCACTGATTATGGCTGAAATCTCTGTGTACTGATGGACTCAGACCTGAACCTTTAGAGGCAAATTGTAGAGGTGTAGGTTTGATTTCAACTTTGGTAGGAAAAACATTGGTCTGATGTCATTAGTCCTATGCAGAAAATGCATTCTTTTTTTTTTTTTTTTTATGCTTGACGTGAGCAACAGGGTGCATTTAGTTTAAAGAGAAAAGGAGCATTTCTTGCTACATTTATACAAATTTTATCAGCACTACACACACTAGATGCTTTTTATCAATGTTTGATTTGAGTGTGAGAGCATGCACGAGCCCATTTCTCCTTGTGCGCGCTCTGTTTTAAAGTTGCTGTTCTAACAGCTCATAACAGCTTACTGTATCCGAACATCTGTCCTAACCCCTAAATCCATTGATCACTATATAGAGCAGGGACTATATAGTGGACTTTATAGCAAACTCAGTTAACTTGCTGTTAGGACAAATGATCACTGGTTACTGTTCCCCTTTGGTCACGTAAGTCCTCCTCCACCGGTGCCTGCGGGATCTTTGTTTTTAGTCACCACTGTTGGGTAGCGACAGCCTATGGCGACAGCGGGCAGCTGTGACAGCAAATCTCTTAATGCTTTGCGAAGAAAGTTCTCCACGCAAAGCATTCAGGGATATATCTGCCTCTTGTGGGGCCTTTCTTTTGTTCTTATACACTTCGTAGACACTTTTTCTCTTCAAAGAATCGCTGTGATAAGGTGAGCTTTAATGACTGTCTGAAACCGTAGCTCACCACACATATACGCCTGAAAGTGCGCATGCACAGAAAAAGATAGCCAACTGGGGATGAGCACGTAGGATGGTCTTACGTGGACATATCGCCGGAATGACTGACAACTAGAAGGACCACTTATTTAGATGATCCACCCAAAAATAAAAGATCCTCCTCTATACCTTTAAGGTTGTGGTCCAATTGTGATATTTGCTTTACCCATGTTTTTATCTTTTAGAATCAAAATCAGAAATACTTAATTAATCCCAGAGGGAAATTAATTTTGTTACATGCTCCAGTTACAGTTTGTATATATATATATATATATATATATATATATATATA